TCCCTGTTTTATGTTAGGCTTTGATGACGGGTAGTATACCTGGTTTCATTGATGTTATTGTGAACCTCAATTCTCCATCTCTGTTGGATGATAATCTGATATGGCAGGCAAAAGCAGCTGGGAAAAGAATAATTTTTTATGGTGATGATACTTGGGTTAAATTGTTTCCAAAGCATTTTGTGGAATATGATGGAACAACATCCTTTTTTGTGTCAGACTTCACAGAGGTAAGAGGCTTTATATAAACCTAAGCTAAATAATGTGAGTGCAAACACATAGAATGAATGAGAAAAACTATCCTTGCTCTGAAATATAAACCTGGCAATTAAACAGAAATTGGATTTATATGTGTTTTCAGTGTTGGCAACGTGGACCTAAGCATTTCAGTCCCTCATCTATACGCTGTGGGAATTGTTTGGATGATACGGTAACAGTGTATTACTGTATAACTTTCCTAAACATAAGATATTCTCACAAAACTTCTGGTAGGAAGTTAGACCACTTGCTTTGTTTAAAAATGCCACTATCTGTGTTTCCAGTTTGCTATCACATTTATATTAGTATATGCCATCTTTAAAAGGCCCATTAGTATTAAATCTTGGTCTCTTAGAGGCATACTTTCTATAGTATTGTATCGCTTTTGTAACTGGAATATAAATAGTGCTTCAGTATGTTATCAAAGAGGGAGCATAGAAAGAAAATGAAAAAAATTGTGAAAATTCTTATTCTGGGCACACTAAAAGAGTAAATGGTTTGGCAATTTTAGTTCACATTTTGAACCTTTATGACTTGTAAATCTCAGGCTATTGACCTGCTGCTACTGTTGTAAGTATTTTATTATCATGTTTAAGGAAGTTAGATAGGTCTAACGTGGATTGGAATACACTTTAATTGTTTACTCTAATGCAGAAGCATCAATATGGAGTGGAAAAATGGAAAAAAACATGTTGCTGGATCTGCAATTATATGGATCTCAAGCTCTTTATGCGGTCTTTATGCTTTCTGAATATAGTCCATTAAGCAGAAAGCTTTTTATAGTCTTTTAGATTATTATATCCAGTGTTACCATAGTGGTGAAATTTTGTAAGGATTTTTAATACCCAGGGAGAAACATATACAACTAAAAATAAGTTGTCAACCTAAGCAGGAGAACATGTTAGCTAGGCCTCAAGTAGCACTTTTCACATGATTTGGCTTTCTTGCTGTGTTGTCAGTTCTTTTTCTCACAGCAAGTAGAATCTTATTCTGTTTGCACAGTAGCAAAAATTGAGTTGAAGCAGCAGGAGTGGTTTTTTTTCCCCTGTGCTTTCCAACCGGAGAGCAGCTTTTCCCTGTACCTGCTTCTTGTGAAGTGATAAATCGAAAGTGTGAAGGATGAAAGTGACTGAAAATTTCTTGAAACAGTTTTTAAAAGTATCTGTGGAAGCATGACAATCCATCTTCTCTGTTTGTATGTAACATGGTGTGGTCATAAACAAAAAAGAATGAAATGGGGTGAAACATCTGTTTTGCAAGACAGATTTTTTTGACTGTATGTCATTGAACTAATCAATCTGATTTTTTTTTTCTTTTTTTTCCCCTCTTGTTAACTTTGTGAGTGACTGTAATTCTCATCAGCTTCTACAGAATTTTCATGGGATTTTCATGGGTAGTGCAATCTAATTTTTCTATGCTTTTTACAAGAGGGAAATTTTTTTAACCTTTTAATTGTTTTCCTGTTATTTCTGAGGTGGATGATAATGTTACCAGGCATTTGGATAGAGTGCTAAAGAGAGAAGACTGGGATCTCCTAATATTACATTACCTGGGACTGGACCATATTGGACATATGACTGGGCCAAACAGCCCATTAGTGGGACCAAAACTTCGTGAAATGGATAACATCCTGAAGAAGATTCATATTTCTCTTCTTTCAAAGGTAATATAGCTCCTTCTTGGATCAATGTCTGTTAGTTGTGGACTGATGTTAAAATGCTTGCTTCTTTGTGGGTAGTGGCTTGTTTATTCCTAGACCAATGTGGGTATTTTTCTGTTCTTTTCATTCCCTAGCTGTTGCCCACTTAACAGTATAGTATAGCATGTTTAAGGATTTACTGTCTGACCTTAGTAACATCTGTTAACAGTCTCTTCTGAACAGCTGTGGCAAATAACTCCCCCTTGGTGTATGGGAAGAGGAGAGGAATGCATATCAAAATTCTCTTATCACTCATGAATTAAAATGGTGGTTGGTGTGCTATCTAGTAATGAAATTCAGCAGAAAGAATAATAGGCACATATAGCTAAGTGGCTCTGATTTCTACAGTTGTGAAGGCATACCTAATTCTTAAGATATTGAAGAGATTCAAATGGAAATGTTGATTGTAAGCAACATTTTTCTTATGCTAAGTGTAGCACATAATTACCAAATCCGAATCTGTTTTTTTAGATTCGGAAATTTAGAATGTCACTTACTTAAGTAGTCTGGATATTGAAATTCCAAGTGGCCTGAAGGTTTTTTTGTGTTTGTTTTTGGCAACTGCAATTCATAATAGCTGCTCATAAAATTTAATAGCATTTTTAAAACAAATGGATACTATTGTATGAAAAAAGAGGTTGAGTCCTGCTTGTGGAAGTTATAATCTCATAAACGTTGCAGTGGTTTTACCATGGTTTGTTAGTATGTTTTGCTTTTGCCAACTATATGCAAGCCTTTATGTCTGTTTTAGAATACAGAAATATTAAAAGCACTTTACTTTTGGATACAACAGGTACTGGTAATAACTAGAAATGACAAAAAGCTGCTTTGTAATGGAATGACAATATTTGTTTTCTGCTGTCTTTGATATGTTAGCCTAAAATTGTTGGACAGGCCTCCCTTGCGTTTCTGTTTTTCTTTCTTCAGAAAAATAAACACCATTTGACATCAGTCATGTCAGATTTCTGCCCCAAAAGCACTTGAGAGACTAGAGACTATTATAAAAAGGATTGCATTTTTATATTAAATTTCTATTATATTAATATTTACAATATGAATAATTTAGCATTTATATTATATAAAACTCAATTAAGGTGAAGAAAAGGAGGCAGGAATATTTCTTTCTTAATGCTTCTGCTCCTGGACTCCTGATTTTCTTCCCACAGTATGGTGACCTTTATTTAATCCTTCAGTCAGTTTCTTGTGACTCTGAGGGTTGTTTGTTTTTTTTTAAAGCTTTTTTGTGTTTTTTCTAACATACTGACAAGCATGTTAGATATGTATGTGTGCCTTAACTGTTAAAATTTAATATTATTGCATAACACTTCGTTCCAGACATCTCTTGTCATCGGCCTCAGGTGTTGTGAACTATTTTAAAAATTGGAATTTATTTTGAGAAGTATCCATGGGTGAAAAAGGTAAAGATAGTGAAGCATTATACATACACATTGTGTTTGTACAGTAACTTAAATTTATTTCTTTGACTTGCAGGAAGAAGCTTCTTTGCCCAATTTGCTAGTTGTTTGTGGGGATCATGGGATGTCTGAAACAGGTAGTCATGGTGGTTCTTCAGAAGGAGAAGTGCACACACCATTGCTGTTTATCAGCTCCGCTTTTGAAAAGAGAAGTGGTAAGGACCAAAGAAGCTTGACCTTTTTTAGAACACATTGCTATCTCTAATTTATATTAGCTAGAGAATTCTTCCTGAAAAGTGCTTTGGTTTGTTCTACGGATATCTGGCTGTGTGAGCCAAAATCTGTGTCATGGTGAAACTATGACTTAAGCTTTGTAACCACTGAGAGAATTGTGTATTTCTCAGATGATAACCTTTTGCAGCCCTGTCCTGCTTGAGTGTTGAAAGCTGTTGTCAGGATCCTGGGATACTGATTAATAATAGGATTATCCTAATAGATAGGATTAGAAGTAAAATCACATTTGAAGTGAGTTTTAAGTTTTGTCTTTCTTGGCCAGCCTATTTCCCTGGCTTCCATTCTTCCTTCTCAAACAGGCAGGATAGAGGAATGAATGACAATTTCTCATGCTGAGAGTAACAGGGAAGAGGAAGAATTGCTCTTGTTAAAGAGTGAGAGATGACAGCAGTGAAAACATGACTATTGATTGCTAAACGTTA